GTTTGTTGAATTGCCATCATAGTTAGGCAGATGTTCAGCCAGGATAACATCCAAATTAATGAAGCTGTGTCAATCAGCATAGGTCCCTGTTTTAGCCAAAGCTCCAAGCCAGCCACGCTGATGCTCAGTCAATGCACAACCGCTGGAAGGCAACTGTCTTCTCTGATGGAGGGAACTGAGTCTCCCCCGGCCCTGCAGCATCCAGTCAGAAGCGTCAAGCCAGGAGGAAACTATGTGTTTTTAAAGAATATGACAAAACACTCTAGATCCTTTAGGTACAGTATAGCTGAAAGCGTTTTTTAAAATAAAGCCAGGCCCTGAAAAGGAAGACATTTAATTTCTGCACTGCAAAATAAATATTGCAGGCTCAATTCAGTTAGTTAATCCATGCTTCTAGTGGTATCTGATGCATGTCCTGTTTAGCCTGCAGCTGCTGCTCCAGAAAACAAGTGCTAGTTCCTGCCTTGTATCCGCTACCCTGCGCGCCTGTCTTGGACACCACCAGGCAACCCAAGAGGAACCAGACTCCAGGTTAGACAACCGACTCCAGCCCTGACTCAGGAAGAAAATATTTAGCTCTGACGAAATGAAGGATCCCTTATTGTTCTCGCAAACAGTAAGCACAAAACTACACAAAACTGTTCAACGTGTCCTGGAAAGCCCTTCCACACTCTCAAATCCTGGATCTTGCAAACAGAGTATGGGAGATGTTTAACACTAGAATGTCAAACTCTCTATCTGATGACTCCTCTGTTTAAGCACATTAGTTTACCTGTGTCCTAACTGAAAGGGTGCTGATCAGCCTTTTTCATGATTAAAACTTCAGGTTTCAAGCCAGGGTGCTTAGACATCTAAGCACTTACTTAGATTTAGACAGCCCCAGTGAGAACTACTACTCAGCACAGGATGACTACCATCAAGCTCAATTTATACTATGGTCCAATAGACCACAACCAGAGCACAGTTCTTGATAATCATGTATCAGTAACATACAGAATAATAATAATAAAAAAGTTCAGTATTAAAAGTAAGGATGCCATCAGCAGCATGGTGGATATGAAATAAGAGTCTCTTATTTCCAGAAACGGGTGAAAACCGGATGCTTATCTGGAGCCGTACAATTGTTTACATGGTAACATATTCTAGTCTGGTATTACAAGACTTGGATTTATCCACAAGGTAATTGAAAATATTTCCACTCCCATAAATCTTTTTTTTGTACTCTGAATACAGGAAATATATTCAGCAGTAAAGAACATGCTTGCTGTCTGTATCAGATACAGGTATTGGCAAAGGAAAAAAATGGAGCTTTTAGCGGACATTCATTTTAATCTTGCTAATGATGCTGGTTAAAATCAGAGGCTGAACTGACCATTGGCATAAATCTTTGACCAGCTTGTGATTTGCTGTAATTTTTATTGTATTAGAGGGCTATCCTATCCAGATGTGCCATTTCAGAATACCAGGCTCTATTTACAAGATTCAAAGTCCTGATCCTCAAGGACCAGTCTTGTTGCTGTCATTTCTGCACTGGATTAAATTTTGTTATTTGTAAGCAGCTGTTAAACCAAAGTCCTGCATTTTCTCAGAGAACGCTGGCAGAAATGCATTTGCTATAGTGTTGTCAGGTACAGCACTACTTGAAAAAAAAAGAAACTTGCATTTTCAACATCAGTTCGATTCCTATTTTCATATAGGGCAAAACACTGCCCTGGGTGAGCCAGCATGCGAGGAGGCTGGGGAAGCCCCCAAGTGCCTGCAGTGCACAGGGCTGCCCAGAGGGGAGCACGGAGCAGGAGAACCCTCCTCATGGCCAGGGCCCCTCTCACCACCAAGGGCTCCTTTGGGCCACCTTTTACAGAGAGCAGCTGGGGAGACGGGCTCTGTTTGGCGCACCGAGCAGGAGAACCCTCCTCCTGGCCAGGGCCCCTCTCACCACCAAGGGCTCCTTTGGGCCACCTTTTACAGAGTGCAGCTGGGGAGATGGGCTCTGTTTGGCACTACCACCATCTTTGTCTTCCTCTAGACCTGGGCTCTAGGGCATGTGCTGCCTACTGCCACCTGTGACACTTGCCAAATTCAGGTGAGACTGCCCTGGGCCTTACAAATATCAGAGACAAAGAAGGAAAGAACAGGCAGAATCACAGAATGGCTGAGGTTGGAAGGGACCTCTAGACATCATCTAGTCCAACCCCTTGCTCAAGCTGGGACAGCTAGAGCACGTTGCACAAGGTGCCATCCAGGTGGGATTGGAAGATCTCCAGAGAAGGATGGAGAAGGATGGTGTAGTCACATCAGCCGTGATTTCTTTGAAAACACAGCACGGCTAAGGTTGGAAGGGACCTCTGGAGATCATCTAGTCCAGCTCTAGAGCAATTGCTGGCAGCACGAGGTAGGTCCTGGGTAGGTCTCCAGGAGAGGCGCAAGGCGCAGAGTGCGGAGCATCGCGGTGACAACCTGCTGAGCATCGCAGTGACAACCTGCTGAGCATCGCAGTGACAACCTGCCGCTCCACCGGCTCCAGCTGGACTCAGCCTCTCGGCTCAGCCTGGCCACTCACTCTCTTCAAGCACCGAACCTCACTAACAAGGTCAGAAAGCCCCTCTTAACGCTGCAAGCCCTGACCTCAGAGATTTCTATCAATGTCCTTGCTAAGGAGGGAGCATGAATAATTTCTCCAGAGGAGCAAAGAGCTTCCTCAAGACAGAGCTCTAGCACCCTGCTGTGCTCCAGCTGCCAATGGACTCTCCTGCATTTCCTTAACAGCAGCACTATTAACAGTGTTATTAACCAACAACATTAAGATCTGTACAAAATCCAGCAGCTTGTTGACCAACTTCTCTAAACTGGGCTTCCTTATGTTGTATCCTAACTCAGCAAAAAGGTAAGGCTTCTGGAAAACACCTTTTCATTAGGACCCACATAAATGGATCCTGCCTCAAGGAGAGTTTGGGAAGATTCGTTTCTAATTAACGTCCCATCCCCCAAGCACCCTATTAAGTTTAAGTGGAAGTACTGAAATATTTCTGCATCTTCAGGGCCTTTGAATTACATATCTCCTAAAAAAGTGATCATTCACTTACCCAGGATTTGAATAATGGATTGTGTTAACAGACAGAGCAGGAAGACAAAACAATTCAGGAGACAGGAAAGAAATAGTGTAATTTGATTTTCAACAGACTTCTCTCAGGAAAGGAAAATGCTATTTCTGTAGTATTCATGTGTATACCAATATACTAAATATAAAATCTGGGTTGGACATTAATAACTCTCTAGGTATCTGCCAGACCACATTCCTTAATGAATTAACTGTTCTTCAAACCATTCTTTTTTTTTTTTCTTCCCTTCCCAGAAGTCATTTTTCTATCTCCTGCTTTAGTATTTTTTTCTCCTTGATGCACCTCTTCCTTCATTTATTACCGAAGCAGAAAGGCAAGGGGTAGAGAGCAGCAAGTGGCCAAGACCACATCCACCCTCTTGCCCTGGCTGGATGCACCAGCTCAGGGGAGCCCTGCCTGGCAAATCTCAACTCCTGCAGCTTAACTTCACATGGAGAGAACAATTCTTGGGAAGGGGATGGAAAAGGCACAGGTGATCACAATAGAGAGCACATGAACTGCTCTTGACTCTTCCCTCCCCACCAAAACCAAATTCAATTCATTTGCTCAACTTTGTTTTAGTTTCTTATTTTCATAACCATGGAGATATGATATGTGAACTTACCTAGGGACAACAGACAGTCAGCTCAAATCTACAGAAACACTGAAGCCTCTGAGAACTTTTTTAAAAAATGCCCTAAACTGGATGTCTGGAGACATTTCCATAAATGCCTGACATTTTTGCTACTTCTGCAATTGCTGGTCTTTGAAACTCCCTGTTCTGCCTCACAGAAGGAGCTGCAGGGGAGCTGAATATGTATTACCATGCCCAAAAGCTGTCCTGGCATCCGCAGCATTTAACTTCTGGACACCTTTACATTTCATTTCTTAGTCCTCCTCTGTTGTATTAAATGATAAATCATTTTGGAAGGAAATGGAAATGCTTAACAATATAATTCTATCTGAGCAGAGGAAAATTCAAGCTAGCTAATAATCCTATCAGCTGGATGTTTTGTAAATTGCAGGATTCTAAAGGGCACAAATACTTAACTATACCGAAATCTTAAGACCAGAGATTCAATCCGGTGTGACAGGTCCTATGATCCACTTAGTGCTGTGCATTTCTCCGACAGGGACTATGGGGAAGAAAAAGAAACATCTACTGTTTGGATCTTGAAAGGCAATTTTGCTTTTCCCTTAGGCTCCCTATTTCTAATTCTTTTCTTACGGAGACCGAACTTTGGGATGCCTGGACAACTGCCCTTCAATAACTCTTTGCTCACAGTATGTTCCTTGCATATACAGTGAAACTTGGGAACAATTTTACAAAGGTCTTCTCTTCTGCTTTAGAAGATAGGTGATCACTGAAGGTCCTTCTAATTTATTTAAGAGGAAAGTCCCATTTTCAGCAGCTGGACTTTCCTTTTATTTCTGCAGACCAAACAAACCACAATCTGCCTGACACTTGGTTAATTAAATAAGCAAAATTGCCAGTACCTCAATACAAATGAGAAAATCCCCCTTCCAAGAGCTAAAGAAGCTCATACAGTGGTAATATGTAATTTAGAAAATAAATGTAAACATATGATTAAAAAGTTCATTTTAGATTTTTCTTATTTAATTATACTGTTCGGAATTATTCAAATTTAGTTTTTGCTGAATATAAATTTTCTGCCCACAGTTTTCCACTGCCAAACCTGGGGCAAGTATAAAAGACAGAAAGAGGAAACAAACTCACTGTTAAGTTACCTAAATACCTGCTACCAGTGGTTTCTGAGGAAAATGCTATCAGCAATGTCACACACATTACACTATCCTGAGAAATAATATTAACGGCAACCTTAGAAAACTGCCTATTTTGTTTTGGATATGGAGACAAGACTTCACAAAATTATGTTTCTCTTAATAGCAAAGACCTGTTAAAGATCAAAAAGAAGATCAAAGATCCACTATATGTCACATATTGGACATTTCTGGTTGTGATTGAAAAAAGCTCCCGACATTATTAGAATTAAATTCATTGTTGCTGGGGACCCCAGAGCAGCGTAACCAGATAAAGCAGCTGTGAATTTGGCCTGCAATGGCCCCTGAAGAGTAATGTGCTGCAACAGCCCCACATCACCCTTGAGAACAGGATCGGCTCTCCTCATTTTGCCAAAGTTTTTGCATACTACCATGGATATAAAAAAGTGACAAAGTCCATTAACCAGAGTAAATGAGATTTCTGCAGCTTAAAAGAAAAAAAAATACAGATGAGTTGTAAATCATGACACAGCCAGCACAGAATCACAGTTACTAATTAAAAGTCCAGGCTTCCAGAGCTTGAGATGCCACTGTTTCAGTTTCTGAATTATTGCAGGGAACTGCTGCACAAAAAAATAAAATATATCAACTAAGTAACTCAGGGTTTCAGATACATCATCATTTTGGGGTACATCATCAAATGACTGGAGAGAACAGAATGAAAGACGTGAACTGGGAAAAGCAAATCTTTGCTCAAATTTAAAAAAAAAAAAAAAAAAAAATCACTCAAAAGCGACATTTCTTTTCCAGAAATCTTCGTGTTTGGCATCTGCAGACAAAACTGCAGGAGTTTACCATTTCCAGACACCTGAGCCCTTCTCTTGCTATCTTCACTGGAGAGGAGTGACTATAAATGAGCACAAGGTGCAGTTAACGAGTTAGTGAGAGTTGTTAAAGTAATGAAATTACTTTAGTATCTCACTAGAAGTTGCATTAAAACGTAAGACCTCTGATTTTTAAGGACCTGTGTACAGTATCCAATCGTGCCTTTCTTAAAGCAAAAATATGAGACAGGAGGCTGCCAAGGGTGCCCCAATGGATGAGCTGTCATACAATACTCTGGTTTAGCTGCAACCCTCTTCCCCCTCCAAAAGCACTGCCAACTTGTCCCAGCTTTTCTAGCTGTGAAGGGAAAGGATTTAGCAACACATTTCCATGGGAATTCTTACCCGTCTCATCAGGCGAACTGGGGGAAGCGCTGTCCTGCGACAGCGTTGTCCAGCTGGAGTCCTCATCGCTCGGCGCGAGGTTCTGGATCCGGTGCAGCGCACAGTCCGTTTTGGCACCCGTTTTCGGGTGGTCTTTCTTAGTCTCAGGGCTTGAGGACACCATGGCCACCTGGCCATCCTCAGGGCTCGACATCTTGTTTTGCTTTCGGGGCAGGACTTCTCCGTTGAGAAGAACGGTCGAGGCCTGGCTGTTGCTCTGTGCGCAGTTATCTTCCATCGCGACTAGGCTCTGCTCCAGCTCTCTAGCGGATGTCTCCAGATCTGCATAGTAATTTAGGAAGCTCTTGGTTCTCCTGGGCTGGGATGGCAATATTTCGCAGCCGGAGAAATCCTGGGGGATTGGCTCTTTACCTTCAAACTTCTCAGAAGTTATGTTTACGCCTGCTGTGGAGCTGAGGTTTCTGTTGGCATCCTGCTGTCCCTGCTCCGCGGCTTTTCTCAGCTGGTTTTCCCCATTCTTCACCAGCTTTGTGTTGGCAGAGCTGTTTCCCAGCAGGGGCTGTGCTGCTGGATCGGAAAGGCCCATGGCCGTCTGGATGTTAGTCAGCGCGTACTTCTTCCTGCATTTCGGCGGAGTGCTGTTCCTGGTCTCCGTGTGCTTGATCTCTGCGTTGAGCAGCTCGTTGTGAGAGGAGCGCAGGTTGAGGGTGGTCGGCGGCGTGGCGGGAGCATTGCGGTTCACAACGTCGGTCGTGCTGCTGCTGGCCATAAACACTGCCAGGGCGTCCACGCCAGAGTCAACTGCGAACGCAAAGGGAACAGGCATGAGGCGTCACACAGCGCAGCGCGGAGGGCTGCTGCTAAGGGGAGGCAAGGCTTTACACGACCGCTTTGTAACAGGAAAGTTACCATAAACTAAGCGGGTGAGAGAATAGGCCAAGGCTCAGAGTATTAAATAAGCAACAGAAGAGCCAGGGAAAAAAGTAGAGAGATCATCGGGACCCTGAAGCTGAGAAACAGACAGACGGCTTGATCCTAAATAAATGAAGCACTTTAATCGCGTCTGAGCCCCTACATTCCAGGCAGGACAAGGAGATAGGAGAGGTGCCCTTTGCAAATGCCTTGAAGCCCAGAAATAAGTTGTCCTCACGACCATTAAATTTTAGTATTTTACCATCAAATCAGATGGGAAGTAGGAGAAGAACTCTTCTAGTGCTCACTGCTAGCAAGCTGTAGCTCTGAGAAGCATTTTTTTTTTGACAGGGTGCAGGCAGATATTTTCAACATTATCTGTACTTATTAATTATTATTTATCTATCAATAATATAGAATTTGAGTATAGTTAAATTTAAGCATAACTGGCCACTCTGCTATAGCCTCTTAAAACCTGAGATTTTTCTGCTGTTGGTCTTTTTGTAGGGGGCGGGGGGCGCAGAATGGACAATCTGAGACAGAAGTCAAAGAGAAACGAGCCAGGCCAAAGAGGCACCTATCTGTTTTGTTAGCCACAGTACTGCTTTGCACAATACCATATTTTATTTCCATGAGGAAAATTTTAAAAAACCCCAGCAAAATACCCTGCTGCTATTTAGTCAGCTTTAAAAAAGGTCTGCTCCAAAGACAAAGCCAGCTTACTATTTTTATAGCTCACAAACTTCCACCGTAAGGATAAAATGCATGTCCAAGGGGAGAGGGCACGCATTCTTCAGATAAATAAAACCATTCCTTTGTCTTCTTGTGGAGAAGACTGATTTCAGTCAGGGCTACTGCTAACATTTTGCAAAATAATAATTTTGTTCAGAGAAAAGACTTTTAGTCTATGATGAATTATTATTTTTTTCAAACTATTATTTGTTCTCTCTTGCTTATTTATTGCAATTCCTCGGGTAAATATGGCTACCACTAATCTCCATAAATACTCCATGAACACCTCAATTTACACAGTGTAGTAGTCACTGTTGTTTGACACCTGGCAACCGAACTAGAGGTCAATTAATAAATCACTCCCATCTGCCACAACATGAAACACCCTTCCTGTTGTTCCTAATTCTCAGGTAGTGCCAATTGCTTATATTGCACATAAAAGCGTGTCTGGGGCTTATCCAAAAACGAAAAGCTATAATTTGAGCCAGTCGATGACAGATCATTCCAGTCGAGTTGTGCTGAATCCTTGTATATTTGATATATGACAGAACAAACTGCTGTATAGATTTGCAGGAGATTACATATAGTCTTTAAAAATATATACACAAAGAAACAGAGCAAAAAAGATTGCTGCAGAAAGAGACGTATATGCATGTACGTTGCCAGTCTTCTCTCCCCTTCGCTTTGTTTTCAAAGTCACATACTTCGGCCATCATTCCATTTTACTTCAAGTTAAACACATCTCTCTGTTCCCCTAACTATCCACCAAGAACAACTTCTAAAACTTGTTCAAAATAGAATTTAAGTTCAGTTTTACAAATTTTCATGTCTGCCTCTTCCTCAAAGTCCTGCCTATCAGTGTAGACCAACTGCAAACTCTTCAGAAGATTCACTGTTCCATGCACACTGTGCAACAGCCATCAGCTTAGCTAACAGCATCTTATGGACCATTTCCCTTTTGGCTCCAGGAGATTTCTAAAGCACAATCACCACATAAATTAAAGAAAATCTGTAATGTATTTCTCCTACCAAAAAAAAAAATAAATAAATATGCAAAAATAGTGCTTTCTACATCTCACAGAAAAACAACTAAGTCTAGCGCAAGCAAGGTCACACCTGAGCCAACATAATGTTACCAAAGCACACAACTTAATCCAAAACACAAGGTGGCCTCTGTTTATGGGTTGGCTGCTTTTTCTGAATCACTTAATGTCTGAAGTTAACCTGCAAGTCGAATCACATATTAAAACTCATTTATCCAGCAGGACAATTTTGACCCATTGCCTGGCCTTTATGGAGTTACATGTCATCTGTAGATTTCTCTCAGATTATGCGCAACATTATGTGTATGTTTTGAGCAAATTAAAATAATCCTTTAAACCAACAAACTTCACTGAATGCATTGATCCCTGTTCTCCAGCAATGAACTACTACATGTAATGTAACACACAGGGGATCTCGCATTTGTATTTGGATGTACAATGAACTACTAAAAATAAAAAGGGTACATGAAGTACTTAAAGCTTTTGGCAAAAGGAAATAAGCAGTAGTTTGATTTCCAGCACTGTTGTCTGAAACAAAAAGGTTCCCGGAAGCAAAACAGCCCATACTTAGTATGAAATTTTCATATGGGAGTGTCTTCTCCAACATGGCAAAGCAGAAACCGAACAGAAGAGTGCAAGAGAATTTTCCTGCTTCACCTGCACTCAGTGCTGCTCTGATCCTGCCTGGAAGGGAAAGCGGCTCCACAACCCGCACAGCTGTGCGGGAGGGTGTTTCTAGCCTGCAACACCCCTAAGAAGCTGCAGAGCCAACAGATGATCTACACAGCAGCGAATTAACTCACCACAATGCCACCCAGTCCTGGCGTGGCACGCTGCAGCCACGCCAAAGCAGCGCTCCTTCAGTCCAACACCTCCCTGCCGGGGACTCGGCTTCCAAGGAACTGAACCTCGAGCTATTCCTGCAAGGCCCCAGTCTGGTGCTGAACAGTTGCACATTTCACCAAAGATCTCAGTGAAAATGAATCCAAATCCCAAAGAAGCTGCTACACTCTGGTATCATCCTTGCTCTTCAAGGATGTGAGGGGGGTTCACAGAATCACAGAACGGTTGAGGTTGGAAGGGACCTCTAGGGATCATCTAGTCCAACCCCCCTGCTCCAGCAGGGACACCCAGAGCACGAGGCACAGGGTGACATCCAGGCAGGTTTGGAAGATCTCCAGAGAAGGAGACTCCACAACCTCTCTGGGCAGCCTGTGCCAGGGCTCTGTCACCCTCACAGTAAAGAAGTTGTTCCTCCTATGGAGGTGGAACTTCCTGTGTTTCAACTTGCACCTGTTATCCCTCATCCTGTCACTGGCCACCACCAAGAAGAGTTTGGCCCCATCCTCCCTACATCCTCCCCTCAGATACTTATACATGTTGATCTGATCTACTCTCAGTCTTCTCCAGGCTAAACAGGCCCAGATCGCTTAGTCTTTCCTCATACGATAGATGCTCCAGTCCCCTAATCATCTCTGTGGCTCTATGCTGAACCCTCTCTAGAAGCTCCACATCCCTCTTGTCCTGGAGGTTGGACTAGTTGAAAGGAACCTCTAGAGATCATCCTCAACCATTCTGTGATTCTATGATTAGCATCACTAAGAATAATTTAGATATTATTAAAATTTTGGTGCTTCCAGACAGCTTAGGCAGTCAGAGGATCCGTCACAGTGATTCATTAACGATTCTAGCTTGCTCCTTTTTTATGGCAAACCCCAAAGTTTCAGTTGCAAAGCTCTAATGGTTACAAACATAACTACAGGTGGAGATAAATAGAGATAAATACACTTTCACCAATATAATGGACTTAACACAAAAAGACTCCCATTTTTGGGGTATTGTAATAATGTAATTAATACTGATACTAGCATAGCTTTTATTTGAAAAATATCAAAATTTCATGAAACTTGCAGAGCTGGAAAAAATGATAAAGAATGTCTGTACAAATGCAAAAAAAAATAGTGCACAACTTATTGTCTTGAATGGAAGATATTTATTTTCATTACATTGTCTACAGAAATGATTTTAGAGAGCCGAATAGAGAGCTCAAAAAGGCACTGTTAAAAGGAAAGCGCTTGCTCTTTTTTGCTTACAAGTGCAAAATTAAAACAAATATGGGCCAGCAAGAAGAAGAAAAGGAGAAGAAAGTTCCACATATTTGCATAGCAGAGTCTTTTAAAGGGCATCTGACCTGGAAGTACTTCTGACATGGCTCACAGGGCTTCAGCAATGCACCAGGACATAGATTAGAATTTGAAATCTGAAAAGAGGGATCATTTAAGAATTAAAAAAAAAGGAAAACATAAAATAGAAACAACACATTGTAGAAGTTCCTGAGCGATGTTACACACTCTAAATAAGCCTTAGTAACATAACAGTGATCATCTTTTGAGCTTTCACAGCTATTTGTCAAACGTAAGTTTTTTGTAGGGGGAAAGACTAGTCTATAGCTAATGTGAGCAAGTAGCTAAAAGCAACTACACCATCATTTTTCTCTGTACCTGCTTTCCTGGGAGCACTAGTTCGACTTTTTTCTCTGGTTTATACAACATGCTGTAGTAAAGACTTGGACAGCTTAGAAAATACGTGATTTTCCTCTAATTACCCAATTAGAGATCACTCATGACTACACCAGCTCTGGCAACATCCATGCAGCAGTCAGGTACATTGATATGAACAGCCTGCAGAATCAGTTTGCTGGACAGATCCAACAAGAGAGAACCATGAAGAGCAGACCGAGCAGCTCCCTCCTGCATGGAGCAGGTGCTTTCATTGCCATCTTTTCCTAAGCAAAGCATTTTCCTTGGAAATCTCTGGTTCAGATGTGATTGAGGCACACGTTGAAGTATTTCTGTGCATCTACGACTATTTCTGCAGCTGTGCTTGGGAAACACAGCAAAGAAATAACAGAAACCTTCCCGTAAAACACATTTCCTTTCTATGGAGATATCTGCTGAAGACAAAGTGTTTATGACCAACAAAACCCCCTCTTCTGCTTGCTGCCTGGTGCAGCTATTGCCATTGCAGGCAGCCCCACCGAGGCCGCCATGCGGTACCAGCCGCCGCTGCCCTGTAATTGTGTTTTTCCTTTTAGAGCTGGACACGCTGCCAGCTGACTGCGACGGCTGAGCAGCCGTGCTGCCCGCGCGCTGGTGATGCTCTTAGTGATGGAAATCCAAAATGCTGATTTGACTTTAAATAATGTTATTACGTTAAAAAAAAAGGAAAGAAAGAAAGAAAAAAAAGAAAGCATCCAAGGATCCTGCAGCGAGTTCTGGCACGGAAGTGGAGTATGCCTTCCTGTCTGTTGTTTTTTTCTCTCCTTCTTCCCACACTTCCATTCAAATTCCTTGCCCAACAAAAATTCAGGGACAAGTCTCCTCTCAGACTGAGATTCTATCAGTTACAAATTAAAAACAAGATCAGGCTTGATTCTTTGCTCCTTTCCTTAGCACTTTGACATGATCTACGTGTCTAGATAATCTGCGTATATTTGACTATCTGATCACACACTGCTGCATGCAGTCCACCCTGGTCAGCGCATCCTAATGGAATATTCTTAAATCAAGCGAGCACCTATACGAATATAAATGAAACTACTGCTTTTTATCAGGCAGAACCATTATATGCTATCAGGGTCATGTCTGCATTTAGTAAGGGCAAAAACAAGATGACATGGTAAGTATTTTTAAATTTAATTTTCCTCCTCCAATTTGATTGTTCCCCCGTGCCGAATGGAACAGCCTGGCAGGCAAACACAGTGTTGTCACTGCAAAAAGATGGAGCGCGTTTTATCTACCGGCTGCTGCAAGCACAGACAATAAGCCCTTCTGTCACCAGATCTTTACATTTACATGGACATTTGCTTAGCAAACCTTCAAGTCATTTTTTAATCTGGTTGTGCAAATTAAATTCTCCAGCCCGAATGTTCTTGATTTTTTTTTTAAAGTCATCATATGAATACTCAGTCACTGCACTACAGATCACACTCCAGCCTATTTAACTGCAAACAGCTCCCCTTTAAATGTGCGTGCTGCTACAGAGAAGAAATTTTCAGCCTCCACATAAATATAGCCTAGATCATTGAACAACTCCTAAATCAAGAAGCAGAACTATTCAGAGGATGGTTGATTCCTGCACAGGGTTAAAGCAACTGGCAGGATCCATCACCAATGCTGGCTTTCCAACTGTTCCTATGGCACTAGCCCAATACCAAGCTCTTTGATCAGCAGATACAGGCACAGAAAGTAGAAAAGAGATTAAGCACAGGTCATAGCTTTATTAACAAAGGCAGCAAAAATGTTAACTGAGATGCAGTCTGATGCAAGGGACGAGTTAAGTTCCAGCGCAGCATCGGTGCTGGACAAAGCGGTCCCTATCGTCAACCATGTCCCACACATCCTGCCCGAGGCGCTGCGGGTGGCAGCCTGCGAACACCCTCCTGCTCCCGCAGAGCCTGGAAGCGGCAGCTGCCCCCTCAGCAGCACCATCCACGTCGGCGCTACCAGCCAACTGCACGCGCGCCGGCGCAGACGCGCCCGGGCCTTTCTGCAAACCAACACATTCCAGCAATGAAACCTCTGAGGCCTTCTGTCACGCTTTCACATGCGTTATCTGCCCTCTGAATTATATATAATAAATTTATGGCTGGTTGCACACTAGGCTGCTATCAAAGTTATCCATAAATGTTTTTAGCCCCAAATTAGTGGACTAGCAGTAGTAGCTTTGAGACAGCTGTTA